TTTTTCTAACCATGTATAGCTCATACCGTAGTAGGCTGTGTATAAAAGAAAATGATTTACTTTGTTTGACAGTTGCACCATGACGAAGTGGCAGCGTATTCGTGAATTTTCCCACGCGCAAATGTCGCAAAAAGACGTTTCAAACACAGTGGGAGTGTCCCGGTGGACCGTCAAAAGGGTTTTAGACCGAGAAAAGAAAGGACAACTATCCGCAAAGGTGTCCACAGGTCGTCCGAGGTCAGCTCGGGTCCGATGGGTTATCGCTGCTATCAAAAGGAAGATTCGGGTGAATCCAGTGCGTTCAATAAGGAAAATGGCAAAGGGACACGATATCAGTGACTTTACGGCACGAAAGATCGTGAAGGAAGATTGCGGGGCGAAGTCGAGGGCACGGAAAAAAAAACTCACAGGATTACCAACCGCATCCGGGAGCTACGAGTCGAACGATGCAAGAAAATCTTGAACTTCCTTTAGCGTCAGCCGCCATCGTTTAGAATCATTTGATTGGCGATACTCAACAGCGACGCATCGTAAAGCAAGTTCAAGCAAGTTTGAAATTCAGTAAGAACCGTGAGGACGTGAAAGAAGAGAAGAAGGAGAGTGAGCTGCACAACCATCCAGGTAAAATTCCCTTCGAGAGAAACACCTTCTCGATCGCCAATAACTGCCATCGTGATTCCCCATTATGCCCACAGGACCCCGAGGTTTACCGCTGGAAATTCATCCACGGCGTGGTCAGACCCCGTAGTGTCCGTCATTCAGCATACGGCGCGGTTAGACATGGAGCATCTTCCGATACGAAGGTATCCGGGAATACAAATCAACGGCCCATCGACCGTTAGACGCCACGAGTATAGTGAGGAGAGAGAGAGAGAGATCGAAGAGCCGTCGCGGAAAGTACCGAAGTACGCGACCGGCTTGCGAACCAATTCGAAGGTTCAAAGTCGAAGGAAAGGAACCGACTGGACTGTGAAAAGTACCCAGAAGGAAGCTGAGGAAGGTGAAGGAGTGGCTGTGGCCCGCGCTGAAGAACAAGAAGAAACGTTAGGCGAAACGAGGCAAGAGATAGCCAATAAGAAAGTGGGACGAAACTGGGAACAATAAAGGTACCTGTAGCTAAACAAGTGTTGTGTGTGTTGGATATTTGAGTGTTTCCTTGGCCGTGATATTCGAGCGCGCATGCCGACCCTGAGGTAGTGTAGAGGGGGGTCTCATTAGTGCTGGGCAGGGAGTACCCCATCTGTTACAGGTTGTTATCGAGCATTGGGGGTCTTGTTATCAGTATTTTTCAGAACAAGACTGGTAGGCAGAAGTGTCCCGACGGCCGAAAAAAGGTGGATGGTATCATACTTCTAAAAGAGTCCTGCATCTTTCAGGAAACTGATGACCGCGGTTAGATTAGAGGGCTCGTCCCCTAAAACAACCCGAATGCTATGTGGTAGCCCGTACATGATCCCCAACTGTTCGTATTGCGGGCAGACACACAGGATGTGTTCTGCTGAAGCCGGAGGCCTGCAGTAATCGCCCTTCGGCTCTGCAGATAGGGGTTGCCACCGACATTGTAGGAAAATCGGGAGTGCCCTGACCGCAGCTTCGATATCGATCTCTGGTCCCGGAGTCCCGTTATATCGGTCCCCTTGACTTTCCTAACGAACAGCGTCCAGGTGCGGAGTCACTCTACTGTCCAGGCTTCCCGTATGATGCCGGCTATCCACCATTTCACGTCCTGCAACGAGACCTGGCTATCTGCGTCGACATTCCCGGGTACACCGCAGTGTCTGGGGATCCATGCAAAAACGGTGTCCGGAGGAAGTTTAAGATTCCTTGGATCCTAGGGTGATCCGGTGCCTGCAAAGAGAGTGCTTTGACGGCACTTTGCGAGTCAGTCAGGACCAGGATCGGGTTGACTGCTGGCGTAGTTGCTGCTATAAACATTTCCGCGAGCTCAGCGGAGAAAACCGAGCATGCTGGCAGCAGACTGCAGCAATTAATTCGAGTTCTGAGCAAGAGATCAAGTTGAATGAACGCCCCTGCAGTTCATAAAAAAGAACTCGAGGAGGCCTTGCCAGAACGGAAATTGAACACTGGGTTGCTATGGTTCTTTTCACGGTTATTTTGTGTTTTCCGATATCCGCTTCTACTCTATGGATTGAGCTGGTTTTCTGCGGGTGCGCTTGCTGATGATGTGTTCATTGATGGTGCCTCCACTGCTGATGAATGCGCTTTTGCTGCTGATGTGTTTTCTAGCAGTGCTGGTGTGAGTTTTGTGAATTAGATTTCTCCATATTGTTAATTTTTAAATTGTGCTTAGCTTCACTGTAGCTGGGGCACCCAGCGGCTTGTTACTGCTTGTTTGCTGATTTCTAATGGAGACGTTCTGCATTCATATGCTTCGTTGTATCATATTAGAAAATTTGAGTCCAGAAATTTCTGACAAGAACTGAGATTACAGCATCATACTTCATTTCTGACGGATATCCCGATAAAAATCCGTATTCCCTTTCTTAAAATTCAACCTGGCTGTATAGATCTTCTGAGCGTCAATCTTTGGTGGAAGGTTGAATAGACTAACGTAACGTATGATGGAATTTGTGACGGTGTAAAAGGAGAGGGAAGGGGTGTATAATTATAAGACAATCAATTCATTAGATACAGGAAATACGTAAAGGCTTGGGCAATGATTGAATTAATAAATTAAACAAAATACATAGAAACATATACCTGGATTTTAGTAAGCTTATGCTCCATGCACTACTTTATAGTTAAAGTTTGAATGCGAAGTTTCAACTTGCCACAGTTCGTAACACTTCAAATAACCCATGAAAATATGGCTGTCAGCCTATCTCAATAGTCTATCGGTTCATGAATGCCGTTCAAGTTCTATGGAAGATCTTCAAGTTCAAGAGCAGTGTAAAATTTTGAACGGTAATCAATGATTGTTATGAGTCAGATCATTTTTTTACGTAGGATTACGTCTTTCAGCAATATTTGGAGGTGCAATTTCGAAAAACTAAAATCGACCGCGTTACGAAAAGTGGTCAGGTTTTGACCACTTATAACTCTGTCCATAGCGGATGGATTTTAATTCAGAACAAGCCAATCGATTGGAAATTTGTCTACAAATCTGCTAGAACGGATACTTTATCAATTTTCAATAGGTCACTATTCAACATTACACAAATGTCCAACTGTTACATCGGTGCTCAAAATTATCACCGATTGCCTGCAAACAGCGCTTTCCCTAACACAGATTTCAAAATCAAATTCCATCCGGTCTCACTGAACGGTGCTTATTAAATCACTGTGTGTTGTGGTGTCCGGTTGGTCATCATCAGCAGCAGCAGTAGCAGTGCTTTCGACGCGTAGCGTTAAACATTCCAATCCAAACTCAGTTGCGCCATCGCGAACTATATGTACATTAGACTGATGCAAAAATTTCAAATTTTCACTACACAGTGCTAAAATGATTCCAAATAGGGTTTTTATTAGCCCTCCAAACTCTGAACTCATTTGATAATTTATATTGGAAAACACAACTATTTGTTTAACTTCTAGCCTTTTTTCATTTTACTCTGTTAAAAGTTCTATAACTGTTCTTACGGGAAACTTTCTTAGCTACAACTTTGAAGATTATCTGTTTTCAGTCAATTGTTATTTTAATAGTTATCAATTGTTTAAGATACTGTCATTGCGCTTGCTGATGATAAAATCCCGGTTTTAGGCTCTGGAGTCGACAATATTCAAAATAATCATTTTGCCAATTTGATTATTTTGCTTTTGAGGATCATTTCTGATTTTGACAATTTCGGGTTGGATAATCAAGCACTGGAGAATATCAACAAAAGCATATTCATTGATGTAAAATGAGCTCATTTGTTCATTTCGCTCGTACGTAACAGCGAAGATTTTGAAAACAAACGCAATTCATCTGCACTGGGTTGAAGCGCTACTCCTTGCGTGTGATGATAAATGATAAAAACAGACCCTTATCGTGAATTGCATGAACTATGATCCAGATTGAAGTGTTACGTCTGTTTGTCTGTGGCAATGTGTGCGATGTGAATGGTCTTATATCTAGCAGTCGATTTTTGTATTTGGCAGGTGCCGACTCCTGTCTCCATGCCTGTGGATCTAGGCTACTGGTGGGAGCTCGTGGTTGGCGATTTTTGGGAGGAGTCTGTCCCCCTCATTGAGAAGGAAGATCCTGTCATCCCCGGTTGTCTTCGCTGAGTGTGTGGCTGCTTTAGAAATGATAGCAGCGTATGTACGATTTCGAAAATGAAGCACTTCCACCTCCACGCATGCAGAAATTGCTGGCGTAGAGGGTAGGAGCCCGGAGACAAGCCGGATGTAGCCATCATAAAAGGGTTCTAGTATGTAGATAACTCAGCTCCAGGCCAGGTCAATGACTGCCGTAAAATCACATAAAAATAGAATTGCATGTATTGCAAAAAGACGAATTAGCAGTCTTGATGGTAACTTGGGTAGTTTAGAGTACTTCAAGGTTTCGTAATTGTATAAGTCAAATTTTGTTTCCTTTGATTTGTTTTCCATACTGAGTACCAATGCTATCGATGTCAGGGAGGCAGCTTCCACACCTGGACCCTACCTATCGACCCATCAACTCATGGACCGGGGACCAACGGCTCTTCTTCCCTTGTATGCCTCAGGAAATCCCATCGGCGCCGTTGTCAAGTCAAAATTATGGAATTGTACCAACTATTAAATTCGTTAAAGCGAACGAAGAGAACCTTAGAGCTGACTGTTATAATACTGCACAATACACAGTACAGTACAAACTGCTGCACAGAACATACATAGAAGATCAAAACCTTTACTGTAAAGACTTGCCCTATTAGAGATTACACATCCGTCAACGTCACAAGCTTGTCCCACATTCCAGTGCAATCGAAACGAATCCGTTGTTGCGTAAAAGAAATTATGAAAACAAATCACATCTATTCGACTGAAAACAAAAAACAAAAGCATTGAGCACTCACTTGATAGCAATGGAAGTGTAGTTGTCATGATCGGAGTTTGCATCACTGCTGTGCTGTTGTTCTTCGTCATGAAAGTGAAGCTGTGGCTGATGTCGTGGTTGCTTCTCCCCGTCCAAGTACGAGTCCAGTGAAATCATTCGATTATTCCGGAACAACCGTCGATTCACCGATTGCTGCTGTTGTTCTTGTTGTTCCTGCTGTTGCTCCTGGTCCAGATCAGTATCATTTACTTTACTCCTACAAATGACAAGATCGATACTGGCACGACCGGTGCCCCGTCGGGTGCAGCTGTTCAGCAGATCCTGAACCTGTCGCATCGAAAGTCCTCGCAACCGTTTGCCAAGGATGTTGACGATTTCGTCGTTTGGTTGAATGGTGCCTTCCCTAAAAAAAAAAGAATACTTGCGTTAGTGGAAGATTGCATGTTAGCTATGGATTCAGCTACTTACGTATAGACCAAGCCTCCCGGCAGCACGTGAGCCACCTTGTAGCGGTTGCTAACCTCGCCTTCGCCGTTGTTCATCGGATTAACGATGATTCCCAGATTTTCAGCCTCTTCGCTGCACTCTTCCAGTTTGATCGTCACGAGTTTGAATTCCGTATTATCCGTGCAACTGTTCAGGACCTTGGAGGGAATGCTTGGTAGGAACACGTCCTCCGTTTCCAGGATCGACGAAGCGCCGGACTCGTTGACCAAGATTCCCGAATCGCAATCCTCCGCGTCGTGTCGATTGCTGGGTGGGGCCAAGTGGATCACAGTGCCGTTCAAATCGTCGTCTTGCTGCTGTTGCTGCTGCTGGTCGATGAGTTTGGGATCTTGTTCGGATTTCTCCATGTTCTTTTGGAAATCGGCCAGCCCAGGAAGTGCGCCATAGCTCACACTTCTGCGATTGTTGGATACTTTTGATGGGGATTTTTTAAGAGATTTCGAATGCGCGGAATGGAAGTTGCTTTCGGCAGTGCTGTTGGTTTTGTAGGATGAGTTTGAGTAGATCTTCGAGAATAGTTTCTGCGTTCGATCGGACATTGCTTTGATTTTGTTGGCAAAGTTGTCCTTCTTTTTCTGGGGCGTTTTCTGTTCCTCATTTTTCAGTGCGTTTAACTTGAGTCGATACATGGTTTCGAAGGAGGTTTCTTTCATTTGTGCAAATCCGTACGTTTCGTCGTGATCGCCAACGTTTCCGGCCATTTTCGGTCGATCGTTCTTTGGTTCATCAGCTGCTATTCCAGCCACCACGGTTGTTAAGTGCTGCTGCTCTGTGGTTGATGCTGCTCGACTGCTGGTACTATTACTACTAACACTACTAGTGATAAGACTTTGGTTTAGCTGGTTGGGAGTGACGATCGTCGTAGAAACGCAGTGATTGACTCGCTCTTTGTTCACTGCACTATCACCGCCGGAAAAGTCTCTTTCGCAATCATCCGTCGTAGTGGACCCATTGAGAAAGATTAGATCGTCAACCGACTTGTACAGTTGACTTTTGGTCACGTTTTCACTCGATTCGAAATTGATCGTTTGGTAGCAGGATAACCTCGTGGAGCCCAGGGGATTCTTCTTCTCCTTATCTCGATAAACGATCGATCGATGGCTGAGTGAAGGACTTTTATCGCCTATCGATGCACTAATGTTTCCAATTGATTTACTCAAATTCTTAACCAGAGTGCCATCAACCGTCGAACCACTGCCATCTACGGAACCCTTGTCCCGTTGCAAAATCCGCCGGCAAACGGGCGTACTGGCTCCACCCGAACCGATGATACCTTGGGCCAACGCTTGTTGCTTGTTTTTTATTCGAATCGGTGAAATGTAGCGACCTTTGGGCCTCTCGATAACACGACCCTCCTCGATGTTGTAGCAGTTGATGGATGACTTCTTGGTCCAGTTCACTGGCGATAAATCTGCGAAAACAAAAGAAATTCAAGAGAAAACAGTTACTAAACAAGACCATAATTCTTAGGGCCATTCGTTTCCCACCGTAAAAGCAAAAGACGAGGACACCTCGAAAAATACCCTTTTTGACCCTCAGCGCGCGAAATGATGAATTGTCCCCAGACTCTACGTCCGTTCCGTGTTTATGGCGTTGAGAAACTAGAACAACATGAGTTCGAAACTCTCGTATATACCATATTCGTCGCTCGTCGTCGTCGTCGTCGTCGGTGGTGCATGTGTGTTATGCTCATGGGGGTTCCTTCGAATCGAGCGAACAATTTTACAGCAGAAAGAGAAATGGTTTTGCGAAACATAAAGAACTGTGACTATACGGTCGGTGACGAGTTCACATTGGGCCAGCTGGGTTGCCTCATGGCATTTTTTTTTAGTTTGAGTAGGTATTGAAGAAAACAACAAAATGCACAAACTGGCAAAAAGGAAGGAAGGATGGATATAGATGGAAGACGAGAAAGAGAGACCTTGCATTAAAGTATGTACTATCACCAGATTCACTGGAACTGGACCGGTCATGCGCGGAGAATGTGGCAGTCACACTTTGGTGAATCACGTGATTAGTGAAATATTTTGTTTACAATTTGAAGCCGGTTTTTGGGGCAAATTTTATCAATCGTCAATAAATATTCATGTCTAAGGTAGACGAAGTATCGAATCAATGAGCGCACCTAACTGTGAAATCAATTATTCTGGTCCTGATCAACGAAACTTGTGAGATGTTGGTTTTGCTCAGAAACTGGTGTGTTACTAGATTGGAAGTGATTCGACAATTCAACAAACCAATGAATCTTTGTTAAGTTCCAAGGACCAAACAAGCTAACATTTTGAGCAAAATCATCATGGAAGTTTTCATTCAGTAGTTTTCAATGAAGTGCTTAGTTTTGATGACACATAATAAGCTCTAAAATTACCAGTTGTAAATGACAACATTCGTTTAGTAAGGTACAACTAGGAACGTTTACCTGATTGTTGCATCAGAAATGATCCACTGCCACTAGATAAGCGAAGTGATTTTGAATTGTTTTGGGATGAAGCCAGTCAAATTTCAAAGTTTTGTATGAACAATTAAATTCCACTACAAATCAATAATATAATAGAGGAAATATAAAAATGTTCTTGTGAAATATTCCATAACCTTCATGTGCTTTATTTGAGACCCTACCATAAAATCACATGAAAATTAATTAAGAAAAAAATATCAATTCGGAATTAATCATTTTGTCAAGCTTCTTCATTCGTGTTCCATCAGATGTCACTGCTGTTGTTTGCGGTGACATCTATAGGAAACTATACACAATATGTTTTCCGTTAATTGTTTACAGAGGACACTGTAGTGCAAAACATGTCTGGTACCTCTATATATGCATGTAGATTAATATTCGAAGTCCCTCTTTTTTACACATTCTGCACACAAAATAGATCATCCCTAACAGAATTTCCCACCAATTTTTATGTATGGGGCAGTGCAGAAAATATCTTTTGTACAGAATATGTAAAAAAGGAGGGACTTCAAATGTTAAACTAAATGCATAAAGGTACCAGATATGTTTTGTAGTGACAGGTACTCTATTTTGTTATCCGTAAAAGGGAAATCACAAATCGAGTGTCATCAAAATACATGGCATTTTGAGAGATTTGAGCTCGTGAGAGAGAATTTTCTCTCTCAAATTTGAATTCTTTGGCTCTCTTTGAGCAGATAGTAAAGCAGGTAAAACTGTATGGGGAAACATTTATTTCATTAAATTGTAGCTTCTTTAACAATAATTTCCGGGAAATAACTGTACAAAAAAGCCTCTGACTAATTTATTTAGGTTGTTGTTCCCTTTTTTTAACCTGAATATGCACCGAAAGTGAATTATTCCCACTTCTCTCAATTTCTATATGGTGATTTTTATCACTTCCTATCAGCGGAACAGCGCCAGCTCTGTGGAAAATGGCCGGATGATATGATTAATAGGTTGTGAGTTTGAAAAAAAAACTTGAGAATTCGGATATCGAATTAATTCTGAGATCCAGATAAAGATTGTTTAACTCGAGTGTCGAGCTTGAACAAGTATTCAGACTCTCTGACTTAGAGTAATGTTTGGAATCCCTGACCGACAAGTGATATCGATAAAAAAATTTGTGCAATATTCCGGACCTAAAAAAACTTTAAAATATAAGACACAGATGATTTTTTGTAATTTTTTGTCAAGACCGTGAATACAAATAGAATTCAACACTTCGAACATGGAAATATTTTTAAATATGGGAATTTTACAAAAACTAGAAACCTCAAACATAAAAATAAAGCCGCGATCTTCGATTACGTTAAATTTGCTATGTCTAGAACCAATTTCAGAATCTCGAATTAATGGAGCTTAGAAATATAATTATGATTCTTGAAAAATTGGGCCAACTTTATAGCTTAAAAAGCTTGAATAATTGTTGTTTACTTATTTTTCATGGACTAGACATATTTTTGGAATCTCAGTCTTAGATTTATTTGATTGATTTTTGTTTTTTTTTTTTTTGAAGAGCTTAACTACTCCGACCTCTGTTCTTTTGTGGTAGATTCTGATCTCAAAAAGACTAAACCCTCCTGATGGACGTACCCGAGCATCCATTCTAATGTTTAAATTGAGATAAAGCCAAGAAGATGATACTGCGCCACCAAGAAGCTGTTCGACATCTTATAATATACCGTAAAGCGGGATCAATTTAATCAGAGGAGTGTATTTAATTCAAAGCGTTAGTGATTATTCATAAAATTAACCATGAATAATGAATAATTATTAAGATTTAGGATTAATCATAGACACTAACGATCATTTTTTGACGTAGGACTACGTCTGTGATTTATATATGGGGGTACACTATGTGAAATCCAAAAATGGAACATGTAACGAAATTATGAAAGATTTAGAACGTTAATAACGCAGCTGCCCCTTTACCAATTTCAATAATTGTATCACCAATCGATCAGAACTTTTTCTACGCATCGATAGCAATCCGTATTTTGAGAAATTATTGAAAAAGTTTAAATGTCAAGAATTGTCTAAAAGCGTCGAAATAAATGTCAAATCCACCAATTACGTACATACATATGCTGCTTCCCCAACACTTTCATCAGAGAGTAGATAGTAGACGAAACAAGTCGAAGTGGCATTCGCCTCCGATTTTCGGGTGTGTGCGAATAGGGAGGATGCAATTGCGTAACATTTTGCATCCTCCCTATTCGTTATATTCAAAACCACACGTCCCCAACGACCATTTTCTAGTTGTAATGTTGTAACCAAACTTGAAATCAGGAGTGCAAGTGATTTTGTTCGATTCTCTTCATCGGCTTTCTGTTTCGTTAATAACTCGACGGCAAACACATTCATTGATACGTTTGTTGTTCTGGATGATAGAAGAGCATAGCAGAAATAATGCGAAATACGTTAGTGAACCCATGGTCATCAAAAGAGGAAATCGATGAAGAGAATTGACTTTCACCCCTTTGCTTCTAAGCCCCTTAATTCAGTCGTCGTCACAGCAATGAAAACTAGCATCTCACCACCAAAAAACATTAAATTACACAATTGTCTAAGGATGCCTAAAAGTCCAGTTATTCGATTAATGATTAATCGTAAAGATTTTTCCATTTAAATATTTATCAAATTTTCAATTATTCGATCTCTTATTTCTACTCGTTTGATTTAGCGCAGTAGAGAAAATAAATCAAAGAACTAATTTATCTGAACAGGCATAGAGAAGAACCATGATGTGAAACAGGATCATAAATTCTCAAAAAAAAAGGCTAAGATTTACAACTTGTTGAGAGAAGGAGCTTAACGAGAAAAACTAAAAAAGGGAGGAGCTTTAGCTGGGTGGACACTGATATTATGCGGCCTTCCAAACTGTCGCAGACACCAGCGAGCAATTTGGATTCCGGCGAGGACACTCGACGGTGGACCAACTCAAGCGGGTCTCAAACCTCATCAATCAGGCGAAGTCGGCCTTGAAGACAGCGATACTGGACATCGAAAAGGCATTCGATTATGTGTGGCACGATGCCTTGGTGCACAAGCTTCTGCAATATCGTTTCCCCAGCTACCTGGTGAAGATCATCTCGGACTACCTCGACGGCAGGACGTCTCAAGTAAGCGTAGGCAGTGCTCTCTCGGAACCGTATGATGTACCCGCTGGTGTCCCTCAAGGAAGCATCCTGGGACCCATATTGTACAATCTGTACACATCGGACATACCGACACTGCCATCAGCTACAAGGGACCAGTAATGCGCACTCTCGTATCGAAGCTCCAAAACGGATTGGATGCCTACACCATATATCTCACCGAATGGAAGAAATGTGTGAACGCGGCCAAAACGCAAACCATTGTGTTTCCGCATAGCAACACCGACCGGCTCAAACCGTCATCAAAGATAAAGGTTCTGAACGCTGAAACTGAGTGGTCACCCGAGGTACGCTACCTTGGCCTGTCAAAAAAAGCACCATCATGCTGAAACGTCTGTATCCGATCATCAACATTGTCACTCGAAAGCATCCACCGTCAACAAGCTGGTTGTCTACAGGCAGATTGTTGCGCCTTTGCTGGAGTATGGGTCTCCGGTATGGAAGGGTTAGCGTTAGCGTTAGCGTTAGCGTTGTTATGATATACTTCGTAGATTGGATACTAGCGACACTCACGTCTCTTCTAAAATTCTCAGTTAGACTACTTTCAGGAATAATGCTGGGGAGTAAACATTGGTTCCAATCTAAACAAGAGTAACAGAAGCATGACTGTCGCTATTCCCGGCCACGCCCATCTTTACCATAACTAGGGATAGGGAAGGAAATGTTGATGTAGTACTTACTTAACGAGAGGCCACCGACTTAGCGACACCCTCATAAGTGCTACGGAGTTGGAGGGTTGGGTAGGGTATTCGGTTAGGATTCACCTCAAGTTGGCGATGCAACCAAAAGTATGTA